GGGGGGGGGGGGGGGCATGAGCCCGGGGATTATATCTAAGAGAAAATACAAACACGCGACCACACAAATGGATATGTCGTCCGATCCGACGACGCCCTGTCAGCGCGGTGTGTGAAAGAATACACAGTGAACGTGCCGGAGGACAACAAAATCGAGGCAACAAAATCAATCTGCATGAGGCTTGCGTGTAGGGGACCAGTGAGCAACTGTTCCTTCTCAACTGCTTCCAACAGGGCAACGAAAAGCACGACCTTTCCTCCACGAGGAAGTGTCACCTGCTCTTGTGGCACGAATTCCCCTCAATCGCAACAGCTTGGCCATGAAAAGTGTGGCCTCACCAAGCAATGCAACCCGGGCTTTCAACCGACACGGCGTAAACCTCATGGCCTCCATGCATATCATCCGCTCACCTTCTGTTGTGCCGAGAAGGCCTCGATGACAAAGAAACAGCGGAAGGCTCTAAACCTCGCCTCGTCCGCTCTGGCGCTCTCTATCAGCTCGTCCTCCAGCTCGGCGATATCGTCTACGAACACAACAAGAGTACAACATCATCCCGGCAGGGAAACGCCCAGCAAGGACACAAACGACACGTCAGACAAAAACACATTGGTAGCATTTAGAGTATATCGTCGTGGGAGACTTTTGTCTTGCACGCGAGACAAGCCAAGGCAGGCGGGCTCTGGGAAAGCCTTCATAGCTGGTCAGAAATAAGCTTGATGCATGCCGATGCGGCGGTTTGTTTACATGGGTATACGGCGCAATGCACCGACAGCTGTGCCGCTTTGGCGCACTTCCTTGAAAATGATGACCGCAAGAGGGAAACGGCTGCTTCGCGCAGAATCTGCACAAAACACCCTTTATCGTGGGCCGTAGCTGTCCTGGTGCAAATATTTATGGAGAGTCTGGTCGATGCGATAGAGGTACATGAGGGAATGCAACCAGGGTTCGAAACTGTCTGATGCTTCCTTGTTTGCCCAATAATAGATTGTCGAAGAGGCGAGTATCACGCCGCATCCACGACGAAGGAAACTCTTCTCCAGTCTCTCGACGACAACACGTTCTCAACAACACGTTGCCAAACCCGAGGTGTACTCAACCAACTCCCCCAACACCAATGAAGGAACCTGAAAGGCCCTTCTTAAACGCGAACGTTATCACTAGTTGCTCCGTCTTCCACATGCCCCGGCGTACTCTTGATCAGTTCGAATCGTTTGTCGATGTTCTCGCGTCAACCCGTTATTTAGATTGAGAGTTATTCCATTAAGGACGATATCCAGCAAGATATCATGCCACCAGGTAACTACTGGGAAGGAAAGAAGTATTCATTCAACAGACAAGTGATATTCCGCCCTGAGCAACGGAGTCACACCATTGACGATCGCTTGGCGATGCGACTAACAGTCTGTTCGTCTCTTTTGACGAGGTCTGTGAACTGTTATAGCCAGCATTCAGGATGGGTGCAGAAGTGCGTGTGTTTGTGGCAAAGACAAAGCATTGTATCAAGGTGTGTTGTATGTGTTTTGAAATAAACACATGTAGGCTGGGTAGTTTGTTTCTGGTTGGGTAGTTTTTATTTTTCAGTTCTTTGGACGCAATGAGGCGATATGCGTTCAGCAGTCACCTTCTCTTACCCCATATTCTCCCCATAAAGTCGCTCTCTCCCGCAGAATATATATTTTTTCATTCCGACAGGTAGATTCGAACCCAGAACATGCTGCTGGTAGGTGTACGAGGTTACCCGCTTTTAACACCGGGGCGACCGGCTACAGAAGGTACAAACGAACATCATATATATTTACAGTATCAACGTGGATGGGTCACCCGGGGGAGGGATTCAACCTCCGGGGAGTGGCGGTTAACTTCTCTCACCATTTTCATCGTCTCCTCCGCCGAGGTTCGCCACCATGCTCCTCACGCTCTGCAACAAGGCGTCGTAGACGTGGACAATGTCCGCCACCTCCCCGACGGGATCTCGCTCCCCTCCCCCACCACCGGCCTTCCTCTTCTCTTGCAACTCCTGCACCAGGCGCTCGTTCCTCTGCAGCATGAGCCTCAGCTTGTGGTGCTGCGCGTACGCGCGCAGCCCCTCCAGCTCGGACCGATGCGCCTCCATCTTTGCCCCCCCGCCCTTCCCCTGGAGCCTCGACGTCTCCTGAGATATCGTCCCGAGCGCATCGTCATACGCCCCAAACACCTTGAGGTACTGCCCCGGCTTGGGGTCCTCGCAGCCGGGACTAACCCCCCCGCCCTCTAATCTCCGCGCCAGCTCGTCGGCCTTGACCAGCGCCACGCGGAGCGTCTCCGACCTTACGGCCACCTTCTTGCCTCTCCACTCGACGCTGTCCAGCGCGCTCGCTTGCTTCTTGCGTGCCTCGGCTACCACCGACTCGAGCTTCGCGGCGAGCAGGTCGCCGCCGGCGCTGGAGTCCTCCCGGCTCATCTCGAGGAGTTCCTCCGAGGCGGTGGCGTCGAGCTTGTAGCGGCAGTACCGCAGGATGGGCTCGATCTCCTCCACCCGGCGGGAGAATAAGTCTTGATCTTCGATTGTCCCCACCTGTTGTTGGCGGTGGCAAAAGGCATGTACGTGTCACGACGCATGCCGGTGTATATAGGGTTGAGGCTTTTGTATCGTGGCAAACCTGAACCTCGACAGATTGCGCCGGAGCGCACCGAGTGACAGCTAAGCACAGGAGTATCCAGCTCATATTACCTGGCCTTCGCTTCGCATGGTTCTCTCCTACCACAGGCGGCACACAGAGATCGTTCAAGGAGGGAATGTCACGCCACCTACCTTGCCGAGCTCCTGGCAGATGCGGTCTGCCGTGGAGAAGCGGTCTAGGGCCTCCCGCCAGGCCTCCTTCTCGAGCAACAAGTTCCCGGACATCCACGCGCAGTAAGCGGTGGCCTCCAGGCACGTGCGCTCGTCCGCGGTCTCGAGGCACAGGGCTTCCAAGTCACCAGACCACTGCCGCCGAGGTCATCGCCCCGTGTTTTCGACGGCCGTGGTGTTGGTGGTGGTGAATCGAGAGATCCGGCGAAGCAAATGGAGGGGACGCGTGTACAGACGATTAGGGACTAATTAGAGGAATCGACGGGCACGTTTCCTGGTGTCCGTGCAGAAATTCGATACCTATATATGTATGTGTAAGGAGTCTGTGGGCCCATAAGTACTTGGTAGATGCAGTTACATAACTGGCAGTTTGCACATGGAGCCTTGACCAACTCGAGACCTGGGGCAAGCACTTGGGTACCACTTGTTGGCTCGGCAAAGAACGACCAAGAACCAATACAGCGGCCATTTGTAGCCCACACCTATGTAACTGCCAGCTATGTAAGAATCCCAGCCTCGCCCAAACCTACAGGTTCTTAAGTCCGGGCGCTACCCGCCTCAGAACACGAGCAAGTCTCACCTTGGCTGCTTTTGCGAGGCGCGTGACGACGTGGCGCCTGACTCGATAGGGGGCATCGGCTGTTTCCTGCTTGCGCTGCATCGCGAACGCCCAGGCTCTTTCAGCCATCATAAGGGGAATCTCGAGGTGGCTCGCCGAGGTCACCAACTCCGGAGTAAGCTCCTGTCGGGTCCGACAGAAATTTCGAACAAGCGCACCAGCAGCAGGCCCAGAAAGTGAAAACAAGCAGTGACCTCCTTCGCTTTGCATTACGTGGCCACCCTAATTGCCGCGTGGCATTATATGCTGCACTACCAAATCACTTTGCATGAAATATTGATGAAACATTCGGGTAGTCTGTGAAAAGAGGGAAACGTCCTCAACAGAGGTTGCTAGCCGGCCGCCCCGGTGATCTAGTGGTAGCCTCGCAGCCTGCTAAGGGCCAGGTCATGGGTTCGAGTCCCGACAGAGTGAGCTTTTTCTCGATATTTAAATCCTGGTCTCCGTTGGAAGCGACGCGCTGCAAAGCTCGTTCTTAGTAAACTTGATCGACTTCATAAGTCGCGAGGGAAGGGATTGCTGTACCCTTCTCGCGACAAAAATATCTCAGGCAGGAACCGCAGGAGGGGGTCCAACCCCCCCCTCCTATGTGATCCCGGTTGGGTCGTCTAGCTGGTAGAAGTGGAGGATAGGGGCCAGAGGGGCGGACGACAGAGTCCAATGATGGGAGAAAAACAAACAAACAACCCTCTTGGACCGGCCTCCATGACAGGGGTCCAAGCCTGTAACTGCTCGTGTGGTCGGGTAACTGCTCGTGTGGTCGGGTAGAGGGCGGAGGGCGCTGACTCCTGCGGACTCATCGTCGAACAAGGCACCGAACACAACTAGGACCCACGAACCCCGGCGACCTAAATCCACAAACTCCGCCGAACAATCCCTGTAGGTCTTTCTTCAACAAGATGGGGCTCATCAATGAACCATCGAAGCTAGAGTACATAACCCCGCATGATACCAATGGCCGCAGCACCAGAAAGTAAGCAATAGATATGCAGGAGGAGCAAACCTTCTGCACGAAACCCTTTCCCTTGCCGAACATGAAGCGTACTTGGGGCAACGAGCGCACCCGCTTCAGCCTCCGCGTGCAGTACTGGCGGTACTGGCGGTAGTCCCCGTGCCGCAACCCGTTGCGGTTCTGGGCGTCCTTGGCGATCTCGTGCACTTTCAGGGACAGTTTGGCAAGTGAAGGCGCTGGTTCTTTCACCATCTCCATCCCCAGGACACACTCTTCGCTCCCATCCTCTGTCCCAGCCATGATAACAGCGTTATCGTGCCCCTGTGCGCCGTGCATAGCGGCAGCAGCAGGCATCACAGAATATCACAGGCGCCAATGGGGGGTCGGCAACAGGGAGCTGTGAATCACGTGGGGGGATGCACACAAGAGGCACCGCATATTCAGTTGCGAGCTGCGGGCAGAACATCCGCACATTTTTACCCTCCTCGCACGAGCCGGGAACAGGCCTAGCTAACCTCCTAGCGCCACCATTGGTGTCCTGCTGTATACCTTCAGCCAGAGAATCCCCCGCCGCCTACTTTTCTATCCCCTCTCTCCTCTCTCGGTGGCTCCGTCTCGCTGGAAGCAACTGAAACATTTGTTCCGCATCACGTCACGACCTCCCACCTCCCACCACACCCCATACCCGCATCCCCTGCCTGGCATTTTGCGCCATTCCATTGCCTTCAGTTTGGGGCTGCTCCAGGAGACATCTAATCCGCTGAAGGGAATCAGGGGTGGGGATCGCTGCGTGGGGCTCACCCTGGATCTAGCAGGATGCAGAATGATGCGGATCTCCAGATGTTCTTCACCAAGGTGTGCGTGTGGGAACACTCGGGAACATTGGTTACGTTGGCTCGTCTTCTTGCGCTTGCAAGCGGCAATTGTTCTCGCCGAGACGTTGCTGCTGACTGCTGCTGTGGCGTGGTAAGGCGGCAGTGAAATGCGGACGCACGGCACCAGCAGTGCAGGTTCGAACGCGGTTCTTGGGTTGCAGCAGGGGCGTCGCGCAAATATTTATGGGCTTTGTGTGCAAACGATTGATGCAATGATGCCTGCCTGCTGTGCTTGTTTCTCGAACATGCACACACAATTTGCCCAGGCACCGGTGATCAAAGTGTATGTCCAAGAGAGTCGTGAAGGCTTGGTAGACACGCACATTTCTCGTAATCTGCTTCACCCGCCGGTTCTGTCCTAGCATTCCTTTCGCGGGGTCCCAGATCACGGCCTTCATGAAAAAGCCTTCTGTTTTTCAGCTGGACTGGAGACTGTCGCCCTCTGATTGGTCAGCCGTTTTGTGCGGCCCGTCGTAAACCAGTGCTGTGTGTATACAATTTGTTTCAGGATCCCATTGGTCTCTCAGGATGTTCTTCACGTTACTTTCCGTAGAGCAGGCCCGGCCGGTCGGCCGTGTTTCATATCGACCCCAGCGCAGGAGCCCTCTGCTCAGCACCCTTTTCGTCCACGAACGCACCCCCTCCCCCCCAAGCAGGTGGATGGGTCTTTCCCGGGAAGACACCAAGACTTGCAACCGATAATTACTTGGAAGTCGAGCACCACCCCCATCTCCACGGAGTTCCGCCTCCCCATCCCGGTGGAACACAGCGGCAGCGTCATCGACTACAGGTGTGCGTCTTCAATCTCTACCGCGCGTCTGCGGACCAGCAGTGTTTGGAAGTACTGGGCCTGTAGTTGTAAAATGGAAGCGGCGAAACGCGTGCGGCACAATGCATGTTTGGACCGTTGGACAGCGTACCCCCCGCCCCCTGGGGGAATCTCTTTCGGCTCCTAAGGAAAAAAACTATCAATCGGCAGGAGTAACTGATATGCGGTTCACGTGTACGGCGGTGTTGCGCAGTGGCAATACCGCATATTCTGGAAACGGCGAGGTCGCGGTGGATCTTCCGTCCCATAAACCAAACCGCGCCGTCAACTCGAATGACCACGGGATTTCTACCCCAACACCCATCATCAGCGCTGTTTGTCTGGGATTTTATCGCGTGGTTCGTCGGAATCGCCCGCGCACAATTGACCCCCGCTCTCTCCCCCCCCCCCCC